TAAACACTGCACAAGAAATGCATAACTGCTGTGCTTATATGGGCTGCTCTTGGTCGCAGCTTTTTGCGAATTTAAAGGTTGCTTAGTAATCCTACTTCAAATGTGACTTATGAAACTGTCACTTGAGGCTGAAATAAAAAATCATGTTAGATCGCTGTCTGTAAATGCAAAAGATTTCTTTGGCTTGTACTTCTTTTGTTTTGTAATTTAGGGCATGGGAAATCCGTTTTTAAATCATGCACCAAAGGATAAAAGATTTAAATAATACCTTTGACATTTCCTTCATATATGCCAGCATTATCAATACATTTGATTATCAATTTTGATTATCAATAAATTCATCCACGAAAACAATTTTTCATATTCTTTACTGGATTTGGATTTTGCACCTACCAACTTTTCTTCTGCTTTTGCTACAAGCCATTGAATGGGCGGTGTATGATCTTTTTCAACCGAAGTCATTTGATTTATAAAGCAAACGTCAAGTTATATTTCCATGGCAATCATGGAATTACTTGTATTCGAGTATAACGTCGATATGATTTTCATTTTATTTCTCTTATTTTTAAATGATATTACAGATATAATAAAAAATACTATACGAAATACGTGTATAATTGGTCTTTAAAGCAACGTGTAAAGACACCCCGCTACGCGTCATACCATTAAACTCGTTGCGCGTGCTCTAGACTTGATTATACGCTTGTATTGAAGATGATTTAAAAAAATTCAGTATGATGCTGTCGACTTGTACGATGGGTCGGGGTGTAGCATCAAAACCTTCTCCTTAAGACTTAAGACTTTAGTCCCAAATAAATGAAAGCGACATTCTCAATCAAACTTCTACGTACATGAGAAAACTACGTACGCGCTAACTATAGCAAATAAAAACTACCCCTAAGCACGGCGACCTCCTAAACTGTTAACTTATTGTACGAATATTGCGCAATGTTTTATAAGGGCTTGCAAATTCAAATTTATAGAAGCAAACACTACATCGTATGCTAATTAAAATAATTACAAGGGAAAAAATTTGGTGTGGCTAGTACAGATACCACTTGCGCATGCGCGATTCTGCCCAAAAGCTATTCAGCTCTTCCTTTTAGGTCTAAGAATATCATTTGGTTCCAAACTGTTCCGCCATTTAGCCGGAAATGAGAGTACGACATCATTGCGAATCAAACACATACCACCAAAATCTATCTACATTCTGCCGCCTCAGCTAAACCTTCGCCACGTTCTCTTTTTCGCTCTAAAAAAAGCAAAGTATCCGCACGCTTGAGCTGGTTTTCCAGCTCTTCATCCTTCAATTTTAATTTTTTCTTCCGTTCGTCCCTCGGTAGTTATGTAGGGCCGAACCTGGCTCATTTCAAGGTCGCTCGCTTTGGAAAGTAGGGCAAGGTGAAGTTCAAAGATGACGGTGACCTTGGGGAGGTCAAGGTGGAGCTACATTTCACTCCTAAGGTCAATGACTTCATTTTTTAATGTCATATTTTCAAGGCCAATGACTTCCATTTCTTTGCTGTGTTGTATTCTATTTTCAAGGTCTTCAGATGTCAATTGCTTCTTTGTTGGGGTGGTATATTTTACTTTCAAGGCAATCAGACGTCAATGACCCCATTGTTGTGTTGTCCTATTTCATTTTCAAGGTCATCAGAGGTCAATGTCGAGGTTTTAAAAATTTGATGGTTCCATGACGTCAAATCAAGGTCATCCTAAGTCAATTCCATCTTTTTTTCGGTGTCGTTCATTTTCCACGTGCCACCTTGGAACTTTACCTTGACGTACTTTTAAAAGTCACCACCAGGTGGCGCGAGACCTTGAACTGATACCCCTGCTTCTTTGTACAGACATGTTTCTTAATTAGATTTTCGATCTTCTACTCCAAAGCCAGGATCTTCTTTTTCCGCTGCCGTTGGCGACAGCAATACTTTAGGGCCGCTTTACATCTGCCTTTTCTTGCTTCCCCAGTCACTTGCTCTCCCACTTCTCTCGCTATTTTTATCTCGCCCGCTAGAAAAACCGAAACGGGCCTTCCCCGCAATGTCCTCGACTGGCGTGTTCTAACAACCAACCCGCACTTCGGCTTTTTCAACTGGCTCAAATGCAACAATGAACGCAACTTTTAAGTTTGAAAAGATCGTGGCAACCGCGCTCGCTTTCTCCAATACGTTATCACTTGTTAGGATCAGACATTCTTTTGTTCACGTACGTACGCTATGAAGCGGTCTATGTTGAACAAAATACAAATTCAGAACCAAATTTTTGACACGGTAAAGCGACCACTTGTTACAGTAGTTTACACAGATTCTTTTACCTTTTAGATTATGCTATTTCCTAACGTGTGCGTATGTGCGCATGGGTTTTCGGTAAAACGTAGAACTTCACTTCTTTTATTGTACATTTTAAGAGTTGAATTAATTGTACAGGGTGGTCAAATAAGAATCCGAGGTACTGTATCTGAGAACCTATCCATCGTAGAGGCTTGCGGTAAAAAAAGTTATTAGTAAAACGGCCACGAGCAAAACCTGGAAAATATTTTTAAGTTTCTGAAATGGCCGCTAGGGGGCGTAACTGCAATCTGGAATCTAAAAAAGGGATGTTTCTGTGAATTCCGCTATATTAACCTAAGAAACAAATGTCCGGTCTTTGAAGAGTTTCCGTAAAGAACATCCTGTATCTTCGAAACGCCGATTTAAACAAACTCGGGTTCATTGAAAAGAGTTATTCTTCGGCTACAAATATTATAATATTTGAAGTTTTGTTAGTTTCACATATCGCCGCTTGAGGGCTTTTTTCGACATTCCGACAGAAATGGTTTAATTTTCTCAAAAAAATTAAATGCGTTGGTTTGATTTTTTTTTCATGAAAAAGTAGCTAAACGATGCCTAAACAAGCTCGCGAAAACTGCATCACGATATCTTGTTCCTAACCTAAAATTTAGGCCAAAGAAAATTTTATACTCTCAAAATTTTATTTTTTTAAGCTAATTTTTACGGAATTATTTTTATTATATAATTTGTGGCCCTAAGGTGGATCGATTTAAAAAAGGAAGCTTTTAATGCCGCCGTAAATGCTCGAAATGCTGACCATCACGGTATATATCTATTATCTATGCTATCTATGTCAGTATATATATATATATCTCAAGATATCGAGATGCTGTTTTCGCGAGCTTGTTTAGGCATCATTTAGCTACTTTTTCATGAAAAAAAATCGAACCAATGCATTTAATTTTTTTGAGAGAATTATCCATTTGTGTCGGAATGTCGAAAAAGGCCATCAAGCGGCGATATGTGAAACTAACAAAACTTCAAGTATTCTAATTGTAGCTGAAGGCAGCTCTTTTGAACTAACACGAGTTTGTTTAAATTAGCTCAGCCGTTTCGAAGATACAGGGTGTTCTTTATGCAAACCTTTGAAAACCCCCCCCCCCCCCACCACTTCATTTTTAGAAATACAAGAAAAATTGTCAAACAAAAAAGGTTAAGATTATCGTCGACTTCAAAGACCGGACATTGTTGTTAGGTTAATATAGCGGAATTCACAGAAACATCACTTTTTTTCGCCCCCTAGCGGCCATTTCAGAAACTTTAAAAATATTTTCCAGGTTTTTCTCGTGGCCGTTTTAGTAATAACTTTTTTACCGCAAGCCTCTACGATGGATAGGTTCTCAGATACAGTACCTCGCATTCTTAGTTGGCCACCCTGTACAGTCTTGTATTTTTGGTACATCTTCGCTGGTTGTAGCATATAGAGAGGTCGATTAAGCACGTTAGGAGATTTGCCCTACATCATCTAAAGGGTTAAATGAGAGAACTACTTAGTTTGTTTTGTTACCCTGATGTCAGTGGTGAAAACAAAAAAAAAACAGTTGACTATTTATTTGTGCATGTAAAATACAAACACACTTGTGCTAATACATGTAGGTGCATTATTTACGGCCTATAGAAACACTGGGGAGACCTTCGAGGGATTCTTGTATTTCAGAAAATTTTGAAGCTCCCTCGAGAATGAGGTCTAGTGCAGTTTCGATCAACCCATCGGCCTGGCGTTTTTCCTATTTAACAAAAGAGAAAAAAAAGTTAAAATTGCTGCCGGGTACACCATTTAATGCTTATAATAAATAACAACGGGGAGGTTGGATATGTCTTCTTGTATTCTAGTAAATGTGGCAAAGACCTCCCATAAAAAATCGAGAAAGGCTTCAATTGGCCCTTGGTTCTCGCGCTTGGCCTAATTGAAATATTTAACATTTCAAGCTGTCAGTAAATGTAGCTCACCCTCAATTTTGCGCTCGGTGCCGAATTGACTTCGTATGCGAATAGTAGTATCACCACTAAAACACAAAAGCGAGATGCGTTCATGATGAAGCCTTGATTGTAACTCCGGCTTTAAATGAGCTGCATGATTTAGATCAAGAAGCTGCCCTTGAAATTCGGTTTTTTTTTCTAGCGCAGTTAATGTAGCAGAAACAGGATGCGGCGATCAGAAATCATTTATTTTTCCCCAGAACGGTATTTACATTATTTTTATGTTGAGCTAATCAAACTTGTAATTCTTCATAAAAATAACAACGGGCAGCTTTGCAACGATACTCTGTACGTCGCCCTGAACTGCCCAGGAGTTTACGGTAGCTGTCACTAACGAAGCTAACTCTTGGACCTCCTTCTGAAAAGGCACCTGCAACACAAGGCCACTTGACAAATGTGAATTTTTCTAGTCGGACGCTTACAGTACTTCCAGTATGTAAGGACCTTCCACACACGCAGTATAAGAAGTGCATAAGCACCATCACCTTTACAGACAGTTTTGTCGGCATGTTTACACAGAGTGGCTGAGACCGAAATTTGCGATCCTGTATCAGAGTAATAAATAATACGTCAGATAATTGAAAATATAATGAGTAAATTGCTCAGGCGTGACGAGCAGGCTTATAATTGAAATTTGAGGAAACCGAGACAATTTTCTAATCCGAGCACAGAGTCACAGATATTTTGTATACATATACATTACAGGTACCGATTTCTATTAGTAACACTTCTTTCTAAATAGCGACACGCGATGTGCCGATTGACTTGGGAGAACCGTGGGGATCAGTGACAGTCCAACGAAGCATGTTACCGTTAAAATTCTATCACGACTTCAATTGCGAGATACAATCGTATAGTTACGCCTTCGGTCCGTGCTGGGAGCCCGTTATCGCTCAGTGCAACTTAAGTACGTAATCCTTTAGACAATTTCAGGCTGACACATCGTTTTAGCGTTCGAGAAAATTATTCCGCCTTCCCGCGATCCGTCGCCCCCCTTACCATTTTGGGATAAAATGAGACTGTTGCTGCACGGTCGGTTGACGATGGTAGTGCAACAGCTGACCGTTTTGCTGCACGCCTCTTTAGATCCGTACAACACAACTGAAGAAATGGAACTGACTTGGAACCAAGTAATAATGGATTGGACTAACGGTAAATCAACGCAATGAGAAATGTCAACTGACTCGGACAATTCCAGCAAAGTTCGTTTACAAAGGCGATCTAAATATCTTCGTGAGGACCGCTTCAAAGTACGATGACTGCAAACTGCTCCACCTACCCAACTTAAAATTGATCGTCAACATTCAGTGGGCTAGTTTAGGCGACCCCAACGACCACCATAGCGTTATACAGTGCGCTCCGGATAAAATTCCAGAGTACTCCAGCAATCAGGTATATTTTTACTTAAGGGTCAATCCAATTGAAATCACCCAATATAAATATAATTTGTTGCTCAGCATTTTTTATTTTTCTGGTTTTTATTTCATAGGTTCCCTTCACAAATCAGCATTTGAAAAAATTTTATAAGCCATGGTTTTTTTGAGGTAGCCATTTCTAAAATGGTGGTTTGGCGAATTTGACGGAAAAACGGGGTTTGCGGAAAGTTTAATTACCAAGTTATTTTTTAAGATATCAAAATAATTCAAAAAACGTTCAGCATGAAATGATCTCAAATTTACATTATTTTAATTTTCCTATCATGCAAGAAAGTCACTCGGAACTATTCTCAAAAAAATTAAAAAAAATTACTGATTCGCCATACATTCTTGGGAAGAAGAAGAGGCTCGCTAATAATATATTGTTACTGTGTAGAGTACTTATAATACTACCTGCAGAAAAAGTTTTAGTCTTGAGGATGCACTCCTTTTTTTTTTCTATGGCTTTTCAAAAATGGCCGAAAGCATGTTAATGTCAATTTTCTTCGACGAATATCTGAAAAGGGACTGAATGAAAACAAGTGAAAATTTTACAGAATGTTCTTTACACTAATGAGAATATCTCACAAAATAATTATGACTGGGACTCAACTACATTCAGAGTAATATAGTTATGAAATTCAATTAATCAAATAACAAAAAAATAACGATTTAAGTCGATATTATGATATTTATTGATTGTAATGGAACTACTTAAATAGCATTTTCCAACCACTCGCAGCCACGGACAATCTACATCTTTTTGGAATCGAATTTGCAGACTTCAATATCATAATCGACATATCGAATTGTCTATGATCATTTAATCTCAATATGGATTTAAATCGCTATTTTTTTGTTATTTGCAACATTTTCAATTAACTACATGCGAAATTACTATTATTATTATTAAATTAGATCACTCACTAGTAAGCGGGGGACACTTTGTAACCTAAAGACCCAAACTCCAAATCAGTATAACTTTTGTTTGAAAACTTATTTAAAAAAAACTGTTCAACAATTTTGTTCCTTAACTCATCAAGTATGTACACAACAAATTTCGTGGAATGCTCTCCATTTTCGTTGTCCGATCAAGAATCGCAGTGGATTTTTATTTAGGTCAGTGGTGCAGATATGCAGTATTTCTCTGAACTAAGTACTTTTTAACTATTTATTTGGTGTTGAGTACGCGAATCAAGTGCAAATACTTACAGATTTATTCCTTTGCTATTTAACTGCACTACTTATTGGATTGTTTTTTTAAAGTGAACAAATAAGTAGATAAGCAGTTGACGTAGTTGTATGTACGAGGATTGTGTAAAAAATAAGGTTCCTAAATTTTTTCAGGTATAATAAGGCATTTTTTATTTGAACTGCACCTCCGATATTCAAACTACGGTACTGATAACTGTTTGTCTTTGTAATATTATTACCCTAATAATAAAAACTCAACTTTCTATGAAAAGGCTTAATTTATTTACACATGAAGATTATTTGTGGTGTATAATTCCTAACTTTGATTTGATATTGAAGAATATGGTCCATTAGCTGCTGAAATAGCGAACCCAGAGATATTAATCTCAAAAAGCCTTATTCGTCCAAAAGTTAGAAAAGATAAATGCGGAAATAAAAAATGTTATCATCAACAAGGTTTAAGGTTTCCACCTCGGCTTCCACAGATAGCTGCGGGCCACATCATAAAAAAGTTTACATTAAGAAAATTTTGATTTTTTATTATTAACATAAAAAGTATTCAAAATAATAATACAATAAAACGACAAATTAGAAATAATCATAAAATCATTAGTACCAGCTCAAGAAAATGTACATGTACAGTGTCCTACAGAATCTATCCAACTATGTTTGTTTCTAAGTTACAGGGTGAAAACGAAAAGTTTGACATTTTGGGATGTATCATATCTTACTACCAATGTAAGATAGAAAAAAGATAAAAACTGCGTATTTTAGATATTTTTACGTAGAATCCAGTGGCGTAGGCAAAAAACAATTTCTGTGATTCGACCCAAACTTGGAATTTTTTTAATGCAACACCCTGTATATTTTAACTTCAATTTTTTGCATTCTTTTTGTGATTACATTGATGTATCATTCTATATTTTTTTATTTAATTATATATTTTATCATATTTTGAAATGGCATATTTCTACCGTCAGCCATTTGTATTGATTGGTATCGAGTGCCTTTGTTACCGTGGACAATAAACAAAACAAAATCTCCATGAATTCATGGCATACTATTTAAAAACAGTAAAAATAAGGTTTTAATTGATTTTCATTGCTAAAAAAAATATATACGGTTGTGAGTGTGATGCATAAATGTAATCAGGAAAAAAACTGCAAACAATTGACGTTAAGTTATACAGGGTGTCACATATTAAAAAAATGCCAACTTTGGGCCTCAGACCCTCAGAAACGGTGGTCCAAAAGTTTTTTTGCCTACGCCACTGAATTCTTACGTAACAGTATCTAAAATAAACAGTTTTTACCTATTTTCTATCTTACATGGAAAGTAAGATACGATATCATCCCAAAAAGTCAAACTTTTCGTTTTCAACTTTTCACCTTGTATCTCAGAAACAAACGTAGCTACAATAGATTGATTTTGTTTGTGGTTTCACAAAAAAGTGGCACAGGGTCGCGAAAAATCGCAAACATCTTCAAAATCTACCGATTATGGAATTACTGTGGTTAAAATATTTTTTACAGAACAATTAGGTTGTAAAAAGCCTATAAGAAATGGGTCAAATTCAATGACGCCATAGAGTCACCCGAGATGCTCTGCCGCTTTTTTAGATCTGCCTTAGGGGTTTATTTTAAAAAAATACCTAAATAAATAAATATATATTTATTGCTCAACAGCAAAGCCAGCTACAGAGCAACATCACAATTAATCTTACCTAGTGGGCACGTGCTAGTAAACACATGCATACTAAATTTAAAACATGTAAGAACAAAAAAAAGGTAACATAAAATACGAGAGCATCCATTCACTTTCATACTATGAATAAATATGATACTTATTCATTTTAATTTCCTCTTGCCAGAAATTGTGGATCCTCGAAACACACCGGAGCCTGTAGAAATCCCTCCAGGAATTAGTAGGTTTGTTTTATTATTGAAACGGTTCAGACAATTCGAGATTAATCAGACTCTAAATAAAACTACTTTTCGGGGTGTGGGACTGAATAACTTATTGCTAATTTTTACAGTTTCAACAAACGTATAATATATTTTTGAATAATCAAAACTTAGCTCCTGTAGGACTCCCAAGATAAACTTTGTTATCAAAAAACCTTTCACAAATATCTAATGTGTTTTATTAAAATTTAAAACTTTTGTAAAAACCCTCGTACATCAACCAAAATTATCAAAAAAATTGTACAGGTTCTTGAATGTACACTTTATCGGATTAAATGCTCATTTTTTCGTTTATTGTCTTTGATTTCTAGATCATTTCGTTCAAAGGTTCTCTAAAAAACGCAAACTTTATAAGCTCGTTTTGGGTTTTGTCATTGACTAATATTGGGGGGGGGGTATTAGTCAATGGTATTGTTTAAAGTATTTAAACAATGTTTTGGGTAAATAAATAACATAAATCGGAAAATAAGCCTTTATAGTCTTAAGAGCTGGCTACGGAAAAAAGTGACTTATTGCTACATGGCTGATTTTTTGTGTAAAGTATCCTGATACATAATGAAGTAGAAGAAGTCATGTCTGCCAGTGAGATCCCTTGGCTTAATTTTGGGAGGGGCGCTCAAATATGTCAAATTTTAATAAAACTGCCTATCTTCCGACTATATTTACCTATGTCGCATTTATTTTGAATCTGACGCAAAAAATGGATGAGACTTTTTTGTACAGCTCATCAAGGCACTTCTTTTTTTATATGTAACATTTTTCGCTATGAAGCTTACTTTCTGAGAAAAGTGCAAATTTATAAAAATTATGAAATGAAGAGTTTAACTGTTCAATTTAAAATTTCTCAAAATCATAGAAACTCACAAAAAAATTGTTATGAACTTTTTTGTAGAGTTTTTTGCGCCACATTAGCCGGTGTATGCGAGAAAATTACAAACATTTTCTTTAAGCCGTTATGGCACATTTTATCTTTTAACACCCTCAAAAACCCTGAAGATGGTAACGGACCGAAACCAAAATAGGTGGTGTGCCATTCCCTATACAATCCTATAAACATTCCAAATTTCATAAAAATCGGTTCAGGCGTTTTTGTTATCGTGTTCACAAGAAACGAACCACATGCACAGTTTAAAAGGGCCATAACAAAAACTCTTTTGTAATCATTTTTGCACACACTGACAAATGTGGCATACAAAACTCCACAAAAAAGTTTATTACAGTTTTTTTTGAGTTTCTTAGTTTTTGAGAAATTCTAAATTGAAAAGTTAAACTATTTATTTTATAATTTTTTTTAATTTGCACTTTTCTCGAAAAGTAAGCATCATAGCGAAAAATGTTAAATACAAAAAAGATGTACCTTGATAAGCTGTAAATTTCATTGATTTTTTGCGTCCGATTCAAAATAAAGGCGCCAGAGGTAAATATAGTCGGAAAATCGGCAGTTTTATTAAAATTTGACTTATTTGACCACCCCTCCCAACCTTAAGGCACGGGATTTCGCTGGCAGACATGACTTTTTCTACTTCATTATGTATCAGCATACTTGACAACAAATCAGCCATGTAGGGATAAGTCACTTTTTTCCGTAGCCAGCTCTCCGT